CTATTCATTTCTAGGTATTTGTTACGTAGGGTATTTGTAACACCCTACATCTTGTGCTAATTTCTGACTGAGTCAGTTTGGGCTGCTATAGCAAAGTACCACAGACCGAATGGCCCAAACAATGGAAATTCATCATTTCTCTTGGCTTTGGGGCTGCGAGTCTGAGGTCAGGGTGCTGGCATGGTTGTGTTCTAATGAAAGCCTTCTTCTGGGTTTCAGACTGCTGACTTCTTGTTGTGCTCTCAAGAGGTAGAAAGAGAGAGCTAGATCTCTGAATTTTTTCTTTTTAAGATTTTTTTTTTTTTTTATGTGGACCATTTTAAAAGCCTTTATTGGTTACAATAGTGTTTCTGCTTTATGTTTTGGTTTCTGGGCCGCAAGGCATTTGGGATCCTAGCTCCCTGAAGAGGGGTCGAACCCATGTAGCCTGCGTTGGAAGGCAAAGTCCTAAGCACCGGGCCAGCAGGAAAGTCCCTGGACTCCCCTTACAAGGAATAATCCTGTTTTTGAGGGCCTCACCCTCATGACCAAATTACCTCCCAAAGGCTCCACTTCTTAATGCCATCTCACTGGGGATTAGCGTTTGACATGAATTTGGCGGGGGGCACAAACATTCCGTCTATAACAGATGTGTACACGTTAATTCTCTTTGTCAGAGCATTGCATGTACCGGCTGTGGAAGCTGGACAAAGACAACGATGATCACAGCTGTCATTTATAGGAGTGGCTACACAAAGGTCCTGGGAGGGCGCTTGGCAAACATCACCCCACTTAATCCTCTCGATAGCCTCTTCATCCCCATTATATAGTTGAGAAAAGCTGAGGCTTAGGAAGGTTAAAGAGATACCCAGCTGGTAAGTGGCAGTATCTGGATTTAATCACAACGCAGTGAAGCTTCAGAACTTGAGCTTTATTTTTATTTTTGGCTGTGCTGGGCCTTCGTTGCTGTGTGTGGGCTTTCTCTAGCTGGGGTGGGCAAGGGCTCCTCTCCAGTTGTGGTACGCGGGCTTCTCATTGCAGTGGCTTCTCTTGCTATGGGGCACTCGGCTCTCGGGCTCGGTCAGTAGTCGTGGTTCCCGGGCTCCAGACTACAGGCTCAGTAGTTGGGGCACACGGGCTTAGTTGCCCCTCAGCACATGGACCAGGGATTGAACCAGTGTCTGCGTTTGGCAGGTGGATTCCCAACCACTTGTGCTTTATTAACCAGACTTGACTCTGGCATTCTGAGGACACACATGGTGGAGACACATGGCCTGTTCCTGGCCGTGTGGACCACCCTGGGTGGCCCTGGTTGACCGGCTCTGTGCTCCCTGAGTCAGGAGTCAGAGCCAGCAGCTCCTCAGATGCAGCTTTGCATGTTTAATGGATGCAGCTCCTTGCCTTGGACCCCGGTTGGGAGGCAGTGGAAATCAGCAGCACCCCAAGGAGGTGAAGAGATAAGCTGTCCAGGATGGCAGTGACGTGAGCGATCCTCCCCACCTTGCTTTACGACGTCCTGCCTAGACTACAGAGTCCGAGCAGAACGAGGCCTGCAGAGTCACCTGACCAGAGCCCTCCTTTTCCCGATGGGGACTCGCGGTATGATTGGCGGTAGGGTTGGAGACAGGGGCTCTGGCTTTGCCCGATTAGCTGCTGTTCCAGCCGTGAGCACCGCTTCCTCCCCAGCTCCAGCCTTCTGCCTTCCGTCTCAGCCAGCGGCAGGGTCTCTTACCCTGGGCCTGCCTGTACTGGCTCGGGACTGCGGGTCCTACAAACAGGAAAGGAAACAGAGCCTGGGATTTTTTTTTTTTTTTCACCCCCAGCATCTCAGAGACTGCATTGAGTCTGAGAGAGCGGGGCATCTGTGCTGTTTGGCCAGGGCTGCTGCAGGACCAGAGGTGGCCGCAAGGTGGCAGGTTCTGCCCGCCTTTCTTTGGAGAACAGATGCCAGCTCCTAGAGCTCTTTCTGAACGGTGTTTGGGGTGCAGCCTCAATATGGGAGGGAGAAAGGGCTTTCCAGCCTGCAGGTGCTGCAATGACACCAGGCCGAGGTCAGTTTGGAGACTGTAGGAAGTCTTGAAAGATCCAGCCATTGGCATGCAAATGGCTTAGGAACTCAATGGTTTCCCAGATGAGATGCTGGAGCGTGCTCACAGGAGCCAGCTGCTGAGAGCTGGGAGTGGGCGGAAGAGGGCGGAGCTGGACCTGGCGGGGCAGAGGGCGTGACCACACCAGGGCAGAGGGGGCATCCGGCACCCTCTGTGGGGGCCCAGCCGCCCAGCCCGTTGCCTCCAGCTGCTCATGCAGGAGGATGGTGCAGTATGGAGGCTGTAGCTCCAGGACGGGGGTGGGGGGCTGTGGGGTGGGGGGGATGGGGGTGTGGAGGAGAAGGACCCCTCCAGCCCCGAGGCTGCAGGAGCGTCCCAGGATGCCACAGCGTCTGAACCCTTAGGGTCATACTGCACTGACCTTTGTCCTCTCTCCTGACCCTCCAGCCTTTGACACTGAATTCATTTCTCATGCAGATGTGCCTTCTTGGAGAGACTGCACGCCAGCCATCAGAACTGATGGTCTCTTTCTTCATAAGGATTAATAAGTATTATTAATAATGATTAGGCCTCCCGAGTTGCCCATCAGAGTGCCATGAATTTAGTGTGATTGGCCCACAGGCCCTGAACGTCCCTGGGGAAGGGATGACGTCAGAGCCTGAGGAGCAGAGGAAGCTCCCGGAGGGTCCAGGGGGAGCGGCCTCCCTGGGGCTCAGTGGAGAGTAGCAGCTGGACTCCCGCTCTCCTGCTCCGGCAGCTTTCAACACTGAAAGCTGGGACACTCGTCTGTTCCTGGAAGGACAGTGACAGAGGGACCTGGACACAGCTTATGGATGAGACAAGGGCATGCCAAAGGGGGATGCTGACTTGCCCGAAGGCCTGCGGCTCAGGAGAGCACCCTGGGTGAAAGTTTAAACTGAGGGGACTCCTTGCAGGTAACCCATGGTGAGCTGATGGGCACCTTCGAGATCCAAGGTTCTAAACCTCAAGGTTTAGGATCTATGGTAAGCACACCTAGGGATCACTCTAATTTGGGATGGGTGTGTGCATGCTCAGTCGCTACAGTAGTGTCTGACTCCTTGTGACCCCATGGACTGTAGCCCGCCAGGCTCCTCTGTCCATGGGATTCTCCAGGCAAGAATGCTGGAGTGGGTTGCCATGCCCTCCTTCAGGGGGTCTTCCCCACCCAGGGGTCGAACCTCCGTCTCTTGCCTCTTCTGCACTGGCAGGTGGGTCCTTTACCCCTTGTTCGATCTGGGAAGCCCTAAACTTGGAATACCCAAGGAATATCCTGGAAGGCCAAGGCCAGATGGGCCATTCTTCTCAGACAAGGCAGATGCTGGGGGAGGTTCCAACAGTGTTTCCCAAGGAGATCCTAGGAGGTCTGCGCAGTGGTCGGGTCTTAGACCCAATCCAGGGTGGACACTCTCTTAGAAGAGCTGGCAGTGGATGGACACGTAGACAAGCAATAGAGAGTTGCCTTGGTGGAGAGGGAGGAGCGGGGAGAGGCATCAGGAGGAAGATGAGAAAAGGGAGAAAAGGAATGTAGGATGGGGGAGGTTAGGGAAAGCGAGGAAGGGAGGAGGGGGGGAAGAAGGGAGTGAAGGAGTGAGCAGGAGGGAGGAGGCAGGGGTGGGGGGTGGGAAGGAAAAAGCGCTGCTCAGCCTGGAGCCTGCAGTCGGGCTGAAACTGCAGGTCTTTCCCTTCTTTTTTGTTTGTTGTTTTTGGCCACACCTCTTGTTAACCTCAGAACTCAGAGCATTACAGCAATGAATGATGTTGCCGTTTCCCCACATCCTCACCAGCATTTGGTGGTGTCAGTTTTGTACATTTTATTCTAGCCATTCTCATAGGTGTGCAGTGATATCTGGTTGTTGCTCTAATTGTAATTTGCAATGATCTATGATGCATCCTGTCACACACTTATTTGCCATCTGTATATCTTCTTTGGTGAGTAACTGTTCAGATCTTTTGCTGACATTTATATATATATATATATATATATATATATATATATTTCAAACATATATTTCTCTGAGTTTTCACCAGTTTTTAAATAGTCATATTTGCACATGTGGTAGAATATTAGAAGAATAGCAATTTTGGATTAAAGACATGAAGACAAGGGGCTATCTTTATAATGGAGAGAGGGCCAGCTTGGATTGGGGTCTCTGTGCTAATTATTTGCTGTGTAGTAAATTCCTTTACCACTGTATTTCTCCATTTCTTGTGCTGAAATTGGGAATGTACTGTCTACTTTCCAAGGTGGTTGCAAATGTTAGAGATGACGTCTGTAATGTGCTGGGTACAAACTGATATGCAGTAAAAATGCTAGAACTGATAGCTTTANACAGCCTCACATAGAGGACACTGTCTGGCAACCCCATCCCTACCCCCTTTAAAAAGCTCTATTTCACATTCCAGCATGAGAGCTTGGCTCCTGTTCAGACCCAGTCAAGGATCGGGCGCTGGTGGCGGAGGTCGAGGCCCTGCTCCTGCTGGCCTGGCCACGATGCTAGCCGCCTGTCTGAGGGTTGGAGGCTGCACGAGGCAGGTGTTGTTGGCTCCACCAGCTGCTCTGCACCCCCTCCTGAGCTCCCTGGGTCCTGGCAGGCCGACTACCCACTGCCTTGCACCAACATCCCCCCTGAGGTCACCCTTCCTTCTCCCCTCTGCCAATCGTTTCTTCCTACCCCAGGGTGGGACCGCGTCCACGGTCTGGCTAAGTTGCTCTTCTTGTCACTGCGGCAGCAGGTCCCCTGGCTGTCAGAGCCAGAGGGACAGGGCTGGGAGTGGGGAGGTCCTCCCGCAAGCCTTAGTGAGAGCCACTGGCTTGAGTATGTTCAACTAATTTAACAGTACAAGTCACTTGTTCTCCTGGATCACACAACCTACAGAGAGACTTTTAGGGCATCGACTGGGTTGGGCGAGAGAGGTAGAGTACCCCAACCTGTTGCAGGGTTCTCCCCTTACCTCTTGTTAGAGAGGGGCTGGGACCTTTCATGCTGGGCTTCTGACATCTGGGGAAAGGGCTTCATGTGATTCGATGCAGTCACTGCTGGCGAGTTTACCTGCTGGTCCAGGAGAAAGTTTCACAGTGTAAGCATGAATCTAACGACACGGGAAACTGTCTGTGATGTATTTCTCAAGAGGAAAGAACTAGATATAAAAGTTGGAATGTACAACATGTATGGGGGAAAAAAATAGATCTAGATATAGCCGTGGAACATGCTGATGGGCGTGGAAACCTCTCTGGACAGCAGGCTAAGGGGTGATGTTTGATTCATTCTGTGTGCTTTTCTCTGTTTTCTGAGTTCTCTAAATTGAGCCTGCATTATTTTTTTTTTAAATACAATTTAAAAAAATATTTATTTATTTATTTCTGGTTGTGCTGGGTCTTCTTTGCTGCCAGGGCTTTTTCTCTGGCTGCGGGGCACAGGCTGCTCACTGCGGTGGCTTCTTTTGTGGAGCAAGGCTCTAGCTAGGGCACAAGGGCTTCAAGAGCTGCGGCTTCCGGGCTCTAGAGCACAGAGTCTGTATCACTTTCTGAGGTTAAGAAAAGATAATGTACAGTGTGATCTGACAGTTCTCCAGAAGTCCTTTCGGCTTTGCCTTCCCTCATCCCAAAGAGATGCTGGCAGAGTCAGGGGTGACGCACTCAGCACGGTATGTGGGGGCAGCCGGGCTGGAGTCCTAGAGACCTAGTGCGTCTCCACACAGGTCTCCGGGGCAGCAATTAAACCTCAGCTGACCCGAGCCTTAGCAGAACGCCCCCCCGATTCTCCCAGAACAGGAGGGCGTGGGAGGCTGGTGAGCAGCTGCTGCCAGGCCACTTCCCCCTGCCTCACCATCTCCCTCGGACGCTGTCAAGGGGCAGCTTCTCATCACCTCCTGCCTTCCGATGAGGCTTATGGCTTTCTGCCCGTCCCACTCAGGCTTCCTGCTCAGGCTATGAAATGGCGGCGTGGCTGCATGGAGCTGACCCCCCAGCTACACGTGACCCATCGCCCCTGCTGTGGTCTCCTGGTCCCTTCTGCTTCCGGGACATCCTTCAGGGTGGAAGGCCCATGCAGTGACACCTTGGCTACCCTGGCTTTCACTGTCCATGTGAGCAATAAATGGTCTGACGCCTCCAGCCTCGATGGGACTCTTCCTGGGTCACACGGGATGACTTATGCAACTGTCCCGCGGCCAGATGCCCGTGGACACCAGCAGGGGCTAACGGCCTCACCCACTGATGACCTCATGAGGGAGGCTTCCTCCTGGAGGACAGACAGAACCCAAGGGGTGCTGTGAGTGTGACCGGGAACCAGGGACATCTTTATCCTTCCTAACTTCTACCTGAAATTTAACATTTCTTTCAGTGATTACATGTAGACAACAAACCACAGTAGGATGGATGGCCCCAATGACTTCGTAACCAGTAGAGATTACAGTTATTTTCAGATCATGTTACAGTGGGTAATCTGTACAGCAGAAATCTTGAAATATTTGTGTTCATTACTACTTTGAAATTTTGGTAAGTATTGAGCATTCCCCCAGATCTTATTAATTCGTGCATTTGTAAAACAGTATACATATTATTATACCATAACTTTGCTGCTAAAATATTATGATAACTGTACTTCTGTCTAACTGGTTTTTTTATTTGTCATTGTATGTATTTAATTTTATCCAAATAGGCTTCTCCATTGTCTGGTCACAGGCGGCAGTAACGTACGGGTTATGGCTTTGGGTCTTTGGGAAAATATCTTCCGTGGTCTTAGCTTCCTCATCCTTAAAATGAAGTGAGCAGCCTGTGAGATGACCTTGAAGGGTTCTGCCAGCCCCACGAGTGGTAGGATTATGTGTATGTCATCTCCTTTGTTGCACACAGCTGAGGGGAGGTCACATGAGGGTGGTTGGAACTTGGGGTTTGTAACTAACATTTCTTAATAGGTTATTTTAGCCTTTATGATATTGTAGAGTACTTCTAGGAATTTGTCTAGGAAATGTGCAAAAACGTTTCTTCAGATACGTTTCCAGGGAACCAGTCCCCAAACAACCTAAACATTAAACAATAGGAGATTGAATATATTAAAATAGATCCATACGCTTGAATAGTGAGGGCCTTGGAATGATGTCATGGAATAATAACATGGAAGAGGTGGCAGGCTGGACAACTAGGTAAAAACAAAGGCATTTGTAATACTTAAAAGACTAATATGGGCACTTCCCTGGTGGTCCAGTGGTTAAAAAAAAAGAATCTGCCTTGCAGTGCCGGGGACACAGGTTCGATCCCTGGCTGGGGAACTAAGATCCCACATGCCGGGGGGAAACAAAGCCCACGCCCTACAGCTACTGAACCTCTGCATCGCAACTAGAGAGTCTGTGCGCAGCAACCAAGATCCCTCAGGTCGCAACTAGGACCTGGCGCAGACAAATAAATACATTCATATTTAAAAAGAAGGAAGATTTCTTTCTTAAAAAAAGACTAATATGATTCTACTTTTATAAAAGCATGTGGATGTACATGCATAAAAATATAAAATAATATAATCCAACATGTTATATCGATTATCCTTAAGTGGTGGGATTATGGTAATTTTACCTTGTGTATATATTTATAACATATATAAAAAATATATATGTATAACTGTAATAAAGAACAATCAAGTGTTGTCACTCCATCACAGGAAGTAACGGTGGCAAATCCCTTGGCTTAGGGAGCTGTGAACCCCCACCCCCATCTTTCCATGGGTCAGGCATTAGCAAGGGTTGAACAGTGAGCCCCGGACCACTCACATTCCTTGTTACTATTGAGCACTCACTTCAGGAGGCAGGGGCTGAGAGTGAGTTCGGTGTGGGTCGAGGACCCCCATTCTTTTCCCTCTGCATCGTCCCCCGCCCCCAGGGGAGGGCTGCATGTCTGGCCCCTCCCTGGCTGCCTGCCAGTCCCTAGACCGCAAGAGGAGGGCGGATTCCGGGGCAGCGAGGGGCACAGCGGCCAGTACCTGCAGGCTGGTTGCTTCCTCGGCCCACCAGGCTTCAAACTCTTTCTGCAGCTTCACCTTGGCTTTGTCCATGAGCAGCTGCAGATGCTCTATCTCCACCTTCAGGGCCTTCAGGCGCGCGAACATCGTTTTGTATCTGCAGTGGAATCAGAGAAGGGGGGGAGGAAGGGTTCGAGAGACCAGGGTGAGCCTCAGAAGCCCGGCAGAACGGCTGTGGTGCCCAAGGCCAGAGCACGGCGCTGGTGTGTGAGCCCGGAGCTGGGCATTTCTGTCCAGCGGGCCGTGAGCTCCCCTAGAAGTCTGGCTGTCATTACTGGGCACTGAGGGGCAGGCGTTGCTCTAGCCACCTGCTGTCTACAGACTCATTCAGTCCCCTTCACCACCCTAGGAGGAAGGTGCTATTATAACCATCTCCCCTTCACGGGTCTGGAACCTGAAACATGGAGAGGTTAAGGAATGTGGTCCTTAGCACCGAGCTAACAATCACAGGAGGCCGGGTTTGAACCCAGGCCATCCGGGGATGACGGCAGGGTGACGGTTCACTTGGGGCACATGCCTAGCCAGCTCAGGGGTGGGTGGCTTGGGTGGCAGTGACATCATTGCCACCTGCGAGCAAGGAAAGTTTCTTGTTTGGTTTCCCACAAGCAAATCTCTCCAGGGCAGAGGAGATAGCCAACCTCTCTGCTGAACGCCTAAATGAAGAAACGAACCGAGATGCTTGTATTAGTAATGACCACAGGACTGTTTACACTTGAGGCTCCTCGCTCTGCAGGTTACATCATTCTGGGGCCCTCAGTGGCTGCAGGAGGATCTGATGTTCTCCGTCACCCTGCAGGTAACGAGCTTCTGGAGAGGAGCGAGGTGGAGGCCCTCTGTGGGCATACTCCCGGGCTCCCCTAGAGGGCAGCAGCAGACAAGACTTGCTGCTTCCGGGGCGGCAGCCCGGACCCCAGGCTGCGGAGGCTGCAGATGGCAGAGTCAGGGATCCTGGCTCTGGAGCCTGGCTGCACCTTCTAGTCCCCACTCCAGCCTCGTCCTTCCTTGGCTGGCTTCCTGCACCTCACGACTGCCTGCTTAAAGGTGGCGCCTGCTCCAGCTGATTTAGGACCCTCTTCTCAGAGGAGCTGCAGGCCTGGGTCGGCGGGGTAGGGGCTGGTGGCCCCCCCTGCCCTGCCCCAAAGCTCCAGGTGGTCCCCAGGGTCCTCTAGGGGCAGGGGTGGTGGTGGTGGTTGGGAGGCAGGGATCAGGGTGTGTGCGGCGAAAGGAATGGGTACCTTCTCTTCTCTTCCTCCAGCTGTGATCGCAGCTTCTCTTCCAGCTGGTCTGGCACTGAGGGCACCGGGATGTTTTCTGAGATACCTGGAGAAGGGAGATGCTGAGAGCTCACTCCAGGGAGGATGAAAGGGAAAGTGTGATGTTTAGAGCAGATGTCAGAGTCATCGTGCCTCCCAAGGTGAGAGGAGACCCTGCGAGTCCCTGTAGGGTCTCTGGACGGGAGCTTGCTTCACCCATCTCCTCTGGGTGGCAGCCTCTGCTTGGCCGAAAGGCCACGAGGAGGCTTCCGTGATTATGCTTTGGATGTAAACCCACAGTCTTCCTTATTCCTTATGTCACTATCAGTCCTTTCCCTGTAGGGTTCCCTCATTCCTTCTTGAGTCATCAGCGAAGATGCAAAAGAGCATTCCCCCTTCTTTTGATACAGAGCCCATCATAAACCAAGAAGGCATCACTAAAATAGCTTACATCTTACCTCACATCACCTAAGGTGCCGAATTCTCCAGCCTCAAACCACATGCCCCACTTTTGCCTTCCCCCCAAAGCACTGCTTCTAAGCCTGATTAACCCAACGTGCACCTGGGGCTGAGACCCACGCTCAGATGCCCTGTCCTGGGGGCAGCATGACAGGACCCTCGCAAGCCCTAGGTGAGGGCTGCGACCCCGACATGCCAGCTGCTGCTGCTGGTTGCCAGGTTGCCAGCTCCGGGTGCTACTGGGCTTGTCTGGAGCCCACAGCCCAGTGGTTGGGGTCTGTCTATCCTCTCAGGAGGCTTTCGGTGGTTGTACGGCATGTCTTACTCAGAAGGCATCTTAGAAGTCATGCAGCCCCACTTTCTGCTCCTTGGAGGGGAGACTCTACCACGGGTCGGGCACTTAATGGACATGATCAGACAATTGCTCCCATTTTACAGAGAAGGGCATGGAGGTTCAAAGAGGTCAACCTGCCCAAGGCCACACAGCTAACTAGAGGAGCTTGGATATAAATCCAGGTTTGTTTAGTCGCAAGGGCTCTGAAATCAGAAATTGCTTCGATGATGATTTTGAGGATGGTCAAGTGCTTTCTGCCATGGTATTGCCAGGCGCTGGGCTCACTGCTTTGCATGAGAGCACATCATTAAGGGCAGCTCTGTTCCCCCCCCTCCCCTTTTTTTTCCTCTCTGTTTCCTCTTAGCTGGAGCTGAGACCTGCCCCACTAACTTCTTTTCACCTCTACTTTGGACCTTTGGAGCAGCACAGTATGCCCTCCTTCTTAATCTGACGATTCTTTAAATATTTTAACAACCACCACCACAACAAGCTGTCACATCTGTCTGGAGCTTTATTCTCAGGCTGACTCTGCCCAATTCCCTCATCTTAGGCTCAGTGACATGGTGACCTTCTAACTGATCGTAAGTACGGAGTCTGCATCTGGACATCATATTCCAGACAGGCCCAGGAGGGGCAGGGTGGAGGACAGTTCTCCTAGCTTTGAAAAATCCATGTTCAATATTTCTATAGGAGGTGAATTACTAGCAATGACCATTATTGAGCATCTCCTATATTCCAGATCCTGCCAAGTCCTACGAAGCACTGGGCTAGGTGCTCTATTCACCTTATTGCTAATTCTCAAAATAACCCAGCAGGAGAGGCATTACCAGTTCGTTTAAATTAAGAGTCTGAGGCTCAGAGAGATCAGTAACTAATTCCAAGTCACACAGTTAACAAGTGGTAGAGCTGGGGTGTGAACCCAGTTTCCCTGGTTCTAAAGAGCTAAAGGCTTACACCAGGCAACATCCAGCACTGCGTTTGTATTTCAGCAGTGTGGACATTGTCATGGCTATGTCAGTTTGTCACTGTCCTCTATTAGTCTTGTAGTCAGTTGACATATGTTTCTATTTTTATGAGTGGTTGTCAAAATGCATTCTATTTCACAGTGACTGTCCTTTGGATCCCAGATGCAACACTTCCCATTCATCGGGGGTTTAACCTGCTGAGGGGTCCTCATTCTGGCAGGCCGCTATTCTTTCCCTTTTAGTTGCTTTTTATGTTGCTATCTAACTCACTGACAAATATGCTAAGCGGATTGGGATTCTGTTCTTTACCTGCCGGGCACCTGTTTCTCTCTCCCTTGTGTCAAGGGTCACCTGTCACTTGTAAACTGGCTGAGCAAGCGTCTCACTCCATAGACACAATAGACTTCCCAGAGGAAGTCTGTGCTGGCCCCCAAGCCGGTGCATCTTAGTGGGCCTAATGATCCAGACTGCCCATCCTAGTCACCCGTGGCTTCCCCAGACCCAGGCAGCGCAAGTCCCCGAGGGCAGGGACTGCTCCCTCTGCTCTTTGTCCAGACTCCAGAGCACCCTCGGTGCCCACAGTGTTCATGGGCCCTTGTCCATGGGAAAAGTCAGGAAGTACCATAATGCCATGCTGATAACTAAGGGACTCGAAATGTGAATATTTCCTGTCCTAACAGTATCTGCAATGGGCGCATGTATCTCTGAGTCTGTTAAAAAAAAAAAAAAAAGCTGTGATTCTTCTTCATTTTAACACTTTTTGACCCAGACCAAGGAACTCTGAGAGACGCAGTGAAGACCCTGCTCTGGGGGAAGTGAAAGTGTGAAAGTGAAAGTCACTAGGTTGCGTCTGACTCTTTTTGACCCCATGGACTATACAGTCCATGGAATTCTCCAGGCCAGAATACTGGAGTGGGTAGTCTCTCCCTTCTCCAGGGGGATCTTCCCAACCCAGGGGTTGAACCCAGGTCTCCCGCATTGCAGGTGGATTCTTCACCAGCTGAGCCACCTGAGGCCAGATCGTGCTGGACCTCAAGGGCCTGGTGGGGACGTTGGCTTTGCGAGAGCTGAGAGGCTGGGGGCTGCTGAGGAGAGGGAATGGCGTGATCTGTTCCTTTGATGGCCAAGCCAAGTAGTTGATTTGCCGGTTAAGACAAAGCTGCTGCAAACAGAATAGTTAATGTGAGGTGGCGCCAGGGTAGTGAAAGGATCTGGGAAAGAAAGCTGGGACTCCGGGACTCAGGCAGCCAGAATGAGGGCACAGCGTACCCCCAAGACACAAGCCATCCGCGTTGCCATGGGAACCAAAGGGGCCTCTCTGCCAAAGTGATGTTTGCCGAGTGAAATGCATTGTAACCCCACCAGGAGACAGCCCCTGGCTACTTCTGCTGCTTCCTGAGGCTTGGCTTATCAGCCGTCTCTCAAGAGAAAGAGGGGCTGGGAGCTCAGTGGGAACCAGACAAAGTGGCTGAGCAGGAACAGAGGCAGGGGGAGCAAGTAAAGGGCAGCTGGGCTTCGTGGGTCTCGGTGCCCACTGGGCCTGCGGCCAGCGACAGGGCCTCTGGTCGCCTGACAGTCACCTCCTTTCAAGCCGGGCCCCTGGCTGGGATGGGAGCACAGGAGGGCAGAGCCCTGAGGGGCCCAGGAGGTCACACTATGGGCAGCCCACCCCCAAACAACACACAAGCGAAAAAGGAGGGCTTAATTCCAGCACCTGTGGGTCTGAATGTCACATACAGAGGAAGCCCCCGAGCAGTCAAAGGGTAACCAGAACTTCAAGCAGGGCCCGCACATTCCCAGGGTGACCCTACTACCTCTGATGAGTCAGGTGTTGGGGCATAAAGAAAAGAGGGGCGCTGGTGGGGAAGGCCAGCCTCCTGTGGGTCTGCTTATACCTGGCATGATTTTGGGGGCACTGGAAAGATCACCTCCCTGCACCCTACACACACCACCCCCCCAAAACTCTCCTATAGTCAGTCCATGTCTGAAATGTGTGAATCTCACTTCTTTTGTTCACGGGCTCTTTACTGGGGGTGAACCTGAGAATCACCTAAGAAGCCTGTAAAAGCAAGAGACCACTGGGCCCTACCCTGACACATGGAGTTAGGATTTGATGGCAGATGCCCCGTGATTCAGTGCTCACTCTTTGTTAAGAAACTGCTCAAGGGACTTCACTGGCAGGCCAGTGGTTAAGATTTAGCCTTCCAATGCAGGGGGAGCGGGTTCAATCCCTAGTCAGGGAGCTAAGACCCCACATGCCTTTTGGCCAAAAAACCAAAAGCATAAAGCAGAAACAGTATTGTAACAAATTCAATAAAGACTTTACAAATGGTCCACATCAAAAGAGTCTTAGAAAAGAATCTTAAACAACAAAAAAAAGAAACCGCTCAAGGCTCTACATCCAATTTCAATGCAAGTACTTCATGTGGGAGTCACCGAGGATGCCAGACCTGCAGGGGTTCAGGTAAGACGCTCTACGGGGGCCTGAGTGGCACTTTACCCCCCGCCCACCTTCCAGATCTTTGGAAACCACTGTGGGGTGAAGGGGCTCAGGGCTTTGCAGCAAGAAGTCACGGTCTCCGTGGGGCTGGAGTCGCCTGCACTTGGCCCTCTCAGGTGGAGGATAAAATCTGAACATGTGACTCTCTGAGGCTCTTCTATAGCAGCTCCCATCACAGACAGGGAAACTGAGTTCTGACAGTGGAAGTGAGCTTCTCCAGGATCACACTGCAGGTAAAAAGAGCCAAAGTCAGGACCCTGCTCTGCCTGACTTGAAAGCTGGTGCTTCTTCCTCTGCAAGTGACCCGTACAGTGAAGGCTTGCCACAGGGCAGATCACTGAAGTCGGTATTGACTCGCCTTTGGTATTTGCAGGTGATGCTCTTTTGCGCAAATGCCTTTCTGATGTGGGGCTTGGGGGCTGAGAGAAACCCTCAGCCTCTCCCCCATGTGCTGACCTGTGTGGACTGCCCTTTCATAACCAAACCCACAAACTGTGCCCTGATCCCACTTGGCAATTGCAGCTCACCCGCCGGGGGTGAGGAACGGTCTCATCCACATTACCCACGGGAGCCTGGCACCTGAGGTCAGCCCCCAGAACACCCCGAGCCAGCCTGCTTGTCTCCTTAACTGTCTGCTAGGAGTCTCAAGGGAGGCAGGATTGACATTTCCAGCCAGGTACAACCAAAAGTCCCTTGGACCGCAAGGAGATCCAACCAGTCCATCCTAAAGGAAATCCTGAATATTCATTGGAAGGACTGACATTGAAGCTGACACTCCAATACTTTGGCCACCTGATGTGAAGAACTGA